GTCCCGCCTCGTACTCGTCCGTGTCGGGCGCCATGAAGTGCGCCGAGCTCGGCGTCTCGTTTGACACGGCCGTCGCAGGCGTGAACGGCACCTTGTTCTTCGTGTCATGGTATATTGTCCTGAACAGGGTACATATGATGTCAACGATAGTCAGACGCGGTCGCAAAGCGCAAGGGGACGGACCAGGTGTGCTCGAGGGGGTGCTCGGGAGCCTTTATGCGGAGACCAGGCGTCTTGGGGTCCTCAATGGTCTCTGCCTCGGGCGGCTTCGCGGTGCCATCGATGGAGAGCGTCCTCGCCTTCGCAAGCCGAGCGGTGATGGCGTCGAGGCTGGGGATGTTCTTGTACCCAATCGGCATTTTCTGCTTCGGCTTTGCGCCCGCGCTCGCACCCGCAGCCGCGTTCGAGTCCTTCTCGTCCTTGGCGGTCTCCTGGTTCAGCTTGTCGAGCTTCTCGGACGTAAGGGGGTCGCCCTGGGGCTCGCCCTGTGGAGTGCTTCCATTGCTGTGGGGCGGGGAGACGGAGAGCTGGCCGGGGGACGCAGAGCGGGACCCGGGCGGGTTGACGGTGACGGAGTCGGCGGTGGACGCCGCGACGGAGGATGCATTCGAGTTCTGGGAGCTCGTCCGCAGAAGCGAGGCGGCAAGGCGGGGGCGGTTGCCGGCGGTGGCGGGGGAGGGCGCGTCGAGCTTGATGCGTGCGGCAAGCTGGTTGAGGGAGGGCATGCGAGTGCCGGCGGCGGGGCGCTCGGGCTTGGGGGCATCGACGGTCTGAGCGGTCGTCGCTGAAGGCGGGGGCGTGGACATCGTGGGCGGCGTGGACGGTGTCGGGGGCGATGTCGACGGACGACGGAGACAAGACACGGCCGTGCTCGAGCGCGATGCTTGTTCTGCTCCATCGGCGCTCGTCCTTGATTGCATCACAGTTCGAATCCCACCCGCGTCAGTCCATTTTCAGGGTGCCCCTGGCCATGTCTTGCATATAACATCCTCCAACGTCTCCTCTCTTTGAGCATTCACAACAAATGAGAGAAATAACAGCCCTGTAGCAGAGTGACAGCTCTCGGAGTTGCTATGTCGCGGTATGTCGCGCATGGATATCCAGGAACGAGAGCACAGCCTTCGGAGGACGCTGTTGTTTGTCCGCCGGCAAGGAGCGCATTGTGCACGATAGACCGTCCGGATTGATTGTTTACGCCATAAAACATGCGGCACGTTCTCTGCATTCCGATCCAGGCTGCAGCCAGCCTCCATCGCATACGCACCTCAAAGGTAAATTTAGGGCGAGGCTGACCGTCTATAAAGCCCGACGTTCCTTGACCTCCTCCTCCTCACCCTCCCCCTCCTCCCCCCGTCTTGCGCGCCTCTCCCTCTCCCTTCCCTGTCTTTTACGCTGCACACAATGCTCGTTCCTCTCTCTCTGCTTGCGGCTATCCCTCTGACATGGGCTGCGCCCATGTGCTCCCTTGTCCCCTCCAAGTCTGCCGCGACTTTGGCAGCAAGCCCGACACCCGTCGGCGGTGCCAGCACAAGTTCTTCCTCGTCCTCGGGAAGCGGCAACAGCAGCGTCGGCGACGACATCGTCGCAACCACCTGGTACGCAGGCTGGCACGGCGCCGACTTCCCCCCGAGAACGTCAGCTGGTCCAAATACACCGCGGTCACCTATGCTTTCGCGTGAGTTCTCCGCTTTGCTCTGGATCGCATCGCGGTGCTGATATCTGCAAAGTGTCACGACGCAAGATGTCAACAGTGTATCTTTGGAGGCATCCGATGAGGAGCTGCTTCCCAAGTTTGTCGAACTTGCCCACCAGAACGTGAGTCGTGCACCGCTTTCTGGCAAAGGCCTGCTTTGGAGGCATGATATCCACCATCCATACGAATTTGTATCCGTGGGAGACCCCATACCCACGTCTAGGTGGGTGCCGTGGGGGGGGGATGCAACGCTGCGTTTGAGGAGCGTTGTAGACTGGTGGTGAAGCCCAAGCGCCCTTGTCTTGGACATAAACGCTAGGTCCTGAACGCGGCTTGCACGCTGCGTCGACGCAGCAAGCGCAGCTTTGCATTCCTCTATTTGAGGAACCCCGCAAAACCCTTAGGCGTAAACGCACATCTGTTCTCCCGCATCATGGGTTTGTGGGAACGATATACGTAGGCAATCAATGCCTTCTCCATGGGCATGGTGAGCGGAAACGAACGGCATTCGTAAATATTTCTGCATGGGGTTATCTAAGGCACGCACCGGCTTTCTTGACACGATCGCTTACACTCCGCGACAATAGAACGTCAAGGCGTTGTTGACCATCGGTGGCTGGACCGGCTCTACGTACTTCTCGTCTGCTGTCGCAACCGAGGCCAACCGGACGGCGTTCGTCCAGACCGTCCTTGGCCTGGTCTCCAAGTACAACCTTGATGGCCTCGACTTTGAGTACGTCCCATCTCCTGGCTGTTGCGACGCGTACAGATGCTCATGCTCTATCCTAGTTGGGAGTACCCGAACAAGCAGGGCGCTGGCTGCAACGTGATCGCGGACGACGACTCTGCCAACTTCCTTTCATTCCTCCAGGCCCTCCGCGCCGAGCCCGCCGCCCAGAACCTCACGCTCTCCGCTGCCGCCGGCATCACGCCCTTTGCGGGTACCGACGGCCAGCCTCTGTCCGACGTCTCTGGCTTCGCCGCCGTGCTCGACTACCTCGCGATCATGAACTACGACGTCTGGGGCACGTGGTCGACCGGCGTCGGCCCCAACGCGCCGCTCAACGACACCTGCGCCGACGCCGCGAACCAGCAGGGCTCTGCCGTGTCCGCCGTCAAGGCGTGGACGGGCGCGGGCTTCCCCGCGAACCAGCTCGTGCTCGGCGTCGCCTCGTACGGGCACTCGTTTAAGGTCGACAAGAGCGCCGCGCTGGCCTCGGGCAACACCCTTGCCGCGTACCCGGCGTTCGAGAAGGGCCAGCAGCCGCTCGGCGACTCGTGGGACGAGGACGCGCCGGCGGGCGTCGACCAGTGCGGGAACCCCACCGCGGGCGGGCCGTCCGGCATCTTCGACTACTGGGGGCTCGTCGAGGGCGGCTTCCTGACTGCGAACGGCACCGCCGCGGACGGCATCGACTTCCGGTTCGACGAGTGCAGCCAGACGCCGTTCGTGTACAAGCCCGAGACGGGTGTGATGGTGTCGTACGACGACGCGCAGTCGTTCGCGGCGAAGGGCCGGTTCATCAACGACGCGGGCCTGCGCGGCTTCGCGATGTGGGAGGCCGCGGGCGACTATCAGGACACCCTCCTCGACGCAATCTCCGAGGCGATCGGCATCGAGGACGTCGACTGCTGAACATCCTCCCCCCCTCGCTCGCTCCCGCATCGCATCTTCCTGTCTTTTCTGTTCCTTGCTGTCCCGACCATTGCCTCGTCCTTCACGCTCGATGCTCTGCGCGCTTTGGCAAGCACATGCGCCCCGCGCGCCCGTTTGACACGTCCGCCCACGCTCGACGCACGCATGTTCACGCGCTTTCACGTCCCTTCCTCACGTCCGCTCCTTGGTGTATCGCTCGTCTGCTCCCTCCTCTGGTTTGCCTCATTGTAGCGCTATGTATACGCACCGTGCTAGACGCACCCGCTCGGCAGAGTTATTGTGTAATATAACGCTTGTCGCTATGCGATGGTATTCACGTACACCCTCCCGTTCGTGATCGTCGCGCGAACGTGAGAAGCCTATTCCAGCATCAACTTCGTCGCAAACATGGTACGCACGTTGTTGCATATATGCCTCGCGCACACAGCTAGGCCATGTATTGCAGGCCATGTAATCTGACAGATCACTGTATGGGTCCCCTTCTACCAACTAGTCCAAGAGTATACATCCAGTAATTCATCGCACAATGTCGTGTCGCTGTCACATATGCATGCAGGTGAGTACATCCCACACCAGAGCCTTGCGGACGATGCGCGTGATGTGGCCAGCTGTCAATGTCTGGACGACAGGGCAACGCGCGGGGGTGAGCCGTCGGCACACCAAGAGGCAGCGCTCTCGTGCCCGCGTTGCCTGCAATATCGACGGTGTTCTGCAGCGTGGCACAAGTCAACTTCAGAGACAAGCTCTCCTTGAATACACACTCACCTCGCGCCGGCCCGCGCGTGCCTCAGACCTGAAACCGCCTCGTCTCCTCTCACAGAACTTTGTTCGGCCGTCACGTCGCCCCGCCCCTTCCTGCGCCGCCCGCGCGCGGGCTGAGCAGCTCGTCGAGCAGCGCCGCGACGCGCTTCTGCGCGTCCGCCTTCTCGGCCTGGACCGCGCGGAGCTCCGCGTCGCGCCGGCGCGCGATCTGCGTCTCATCCGAGAGCAGCAGGAGCAGCTTCATCGAGTGGATCGTCGACGTGAGCGAGTGCGCCGCGCGGATCTGCGCGTGCGCACGGGTGTAGTTGCGAGCGCGGGTGCAGACATGCGCAAAACGTGATGGCAAGGAACCCAGCGGAAGACACGGCGGAGATGGGCTGGTGAGCGGACGGAGGTGGGGCGCGGGGAAGGCGAAACGGGGGGACGCACCATGGACTCTGCGCGGCACTGCGCCTGGAAAGTCTCCTGCGCGATGCGGAACTTGTCCTTATCCTCTATCTGCACGCGTTCACAGTATGCAACTGCACGTTAGTAGCACGTCAGATGTCTACAGCAGACCACCACGCGCGTACGCACCGAGGCGAGCGAGACGATGTCGACCATGCCGTCGACGAGGGTCTCGATCTCGACGTCGACCTTCTTGTTCCACTCCTCCTCGATCGCGTCCAAGTACTCGTTCGACTTCTGGTCGATGAGGGGTTGCGCCTGGCGCTGCAGCAGCTTCGCGGTCGGCAACGCTGAAGGACGCGAGACATCGGTCTGGGGGACGTCGGACATGGTGGTCTTGTGGCGGAACGGGGTCAGCTGGATCGAGTCGCGCAGTGTGCTTTGCAGAGTGCTTCGCTGATCAGAGTGGATATGTTTTATGTTGTGATTGGCGTTATAACATCCCGCTTAGCTCAGTTGGTAGAGCGCATCACTAGTACCTGTTCCAAGGGTAATGATGAGGTCAGTCGTTCAAATCGGCTAGTGGGAATTATTTTTGACAGTCTGCTCTCATGTCCTAAGAAGGAAAACCTGTTCGAGTTCGTCTGTGGACATATCTACGTATGTCCTAACCCAGATTGACCTTTGGCACTCGTAGCACGTACGCACCATTTAGTTATGGTTGACTGTACTTGCCACTACTGCTATGGATACTTGTACATTGATACTATTTGCTCTCAAACATAACCTCGAGGAGCTCGGGTCCGACCACTGCCCGACTGCCTATGGCAATGTGCGGTCAGCAAGGTGCGGAGAGCACTCAGCAGATGCACAAGGCCCCACAAATTTCCTTCGCGCCCGCAAGGTCGCAAAAGAGGCGGACGCTGCGACGTCCTGCAATACCCTCCGCGCCTGTTGCTATCCTTTTCGCGGACACCCCGTCGGAGCTGCAGCAGTGAAGTCATGCAAAATTGTCTAAGCAGCCCTGCATAACCATGCAATATTTTGGGGCCGACGATGTGTTCTACCCACCCTCCTATCGACCATCTCGAAAAGGACCAGGTAAACAGCGTGCGCGTTGTCGACCCGTGGTAATTCACATGCATGATACGAGCTCGAACTCCGCACCATGTCTACAGGATCCATATATCGCATTCGAGGGACGACACATTCCGGGGTCTTCATGAGAGATAGTGCCCCCAGGTCCCCTTCCATGCGCCTTTCGCGTCGTTCTCAATCACGTCCTGAAAAGCAGTCAATCTAGAAACAAACGAGGTAGCCGCTATGAAGCGTACGCCATGGCAAGGTATATAGCGGACAAAGTCCCACTCATAAACCTTCTTCGCGTCGCGGCACATGGCACTGTCGATACCGATGAGAATCTGAGCGAGCGAAGAGTGAGTAAGGACCGGACAGCTCACAGCTTGTCTTGCTCCTTCAGCCAGATGAACCACGAAAGTAACCATCCGTGCGGCTTGAGGCCACGGAGGAGAATTGACTTTGACGACAGAGATGACCGAGAGTACTGATATGGCGGTCGACCAATCGTCAGGAAATCTTGGGGGATAGACAGGATATGTACAGACGAACTTGTTCTGTGGGCGGAATGTTCATAAGGAGGTCGGCGGCGATGACGGTCTTCGATGCCTTGTGGTAGAACGCAATATCCTTATTGGCGAAGCCAGAGAAATAGCTATGCACATGTTCCTTGACTTGATCCGGGTAGCTGTTACAGAGACGAGGGGACTCACCAGTGCTCAATCTGTGGGCATTCAGTGTTAGCGTCGGTAGCTTGAAGACTGTGTATGCGCTCACATCATCCTCGAAACCGTACTTCGCATTGGGTGCGTTAACGCTGAACACTACAATCAGATTGTATGAGTTCCTGTAACTTCGCGATGAAGTTCTGTTGAGGTTACCTGCGTCGAGTTGCCATCCCTCCGAAGCCTTTTTCGCGTTCAGATCCTCAGGGCCGATGCTCGTGGCGACAGGATAAGCATCCTTGTATTGCTCTGGATGGCTCAGTTAGCCTTCTCGACAGCGTCCGGTGCAGCAGCGACAGGATTTACTGAGGAAGAGGTGGTGGAAGGCGTTTCCAGCAACGATGTATCTAGGTTCCAGGGGCTAAGATTCAGTTACCATAACAAACTCGTTAGAACACGTCCACACGGCGCGCACTTGACGTCGCCCAAGTCTGCAAGCTTCTCCTTGGTTTCGTTGGTTAGAGGAGTAGACGCTAGAATCCACACTCCTCCGGCCTCCAGCTTGATCGCCGTCGAACGACCACCCACTGGGAACATACCGCGTAATGTCATTGGCCTGGTTTACCAAGAATTCACGTCAATCTAGCTTGCCAGAAACCGTGGCAACGCTGCGTCGGACACACCGGGAAAATGTCCACACATTCGGCGCAACCTGGATGGATGAGGTGAGTCTTTGCCTCTCCCGTCACTCCTGACTTAACCTAACGACTCACTTCGCGAATGACAAGATCTGACATGATGAAAACGGAAAGGGATGATCACACCTGTCGTCCAATGTGGGGGATGGGGGTCAAAGGGAACACACAGTCGATGTGAACACTGGCAGCGGGCCCCTTTGCTCAAGGTTCGGACGGCCATGCGCGGTGATCACAACGCCGATTGGCGGTTGACGGATGAATGGAGTTTCCATTGCTCTGGTGAGAAAAAAGCTGCGACTGCCGCGAATTGGAAGATGGTTGTTGTGAAGGCGCCTTGCGCGAACGCGTCGAACAAACCTCCGGGCGCTCGACACGCGTCGAATTGGCGCCTGCGGTATCGGTATGTACCTGCGCGTCTCTAGCCCTACTCATCGCAAGTCACTTGGGCACGACCTCCATCAGCCCTGTAAACTCGCTGTCTATTTGCTCTGAACGCCCTTGCTTGTTGAAAATCCTGCTCCCCCCTGTTACTCACCATCACTGTGCAGAATGTCTCGCCGTGCAGCAGTGGTCGAGGAGTTCGACGACAATACCGACCTCCCGCTCCCCAACAAGCCCCTGCCCAACACAGGCACGCGCGGCGCAATCCTCCAGGAGCTGGACCTCTCTGAGTCTGAAGACGAGGGCACTCAAAGCCCGTTCCAACCAGCGGCGGGCCCAGCATCACCTTCCTCGGCCCAATTCAGACCAGGGGGTGGTGCCGATGCGCAGAACACCATCACGGACATCACGCCGTACAAGAAGTGCGTTACTCGATACCACACTCGTGACAAGCAGATGTACATTGCACTGAACGATACTGAACGGCTGCACTAGGTGGACGTGCATCTACCCCATCTACATTGACGCCAAACGGCCTTGCGGACGGGGCGAGCGGCGCATCCCACGCCAGAAGAGTGTCTGGTGGCCGCTCAGCAAGGACATCGCGGACGCGACGAACCGCCTCGGACTTGGGACGCTGCACGAGGTGCACAAGGCGCACCCGCGCGACTGGGAGAACCCCGGGCGCGTGCGCGTGCAGTGGAAGAAGGACGGCCGGCTCGTGAACCCCGCGATCAAGACCAGTACGTCCCCTCCGTTTCTTCCCCGCGCGCCGGCGCCGCGCAGGACTCTGCGTTCCACTCATGCGCTTGTTTCCCTGCAGAGAAGCAACTCCTGGAGATGATCGCGCTCCAGATCCAGATGCTCAAGCCCGATAGCGTCCCCAAGCCGCCGTACAACACCGACCCGCCCGCGCAGACCACAGAAGCCCCCGCGCCCCCGACGCCGTCGAAGGGGAAGCAGCCTGCAAAGGCGAGCACGAAACTCTCCTCGGGGACGGGCTCGGTGTCGAACACGACGATCTCACCTTCGCCTGGGACGAAGCGCCCGCCGAAGGTCCCTCCCCCGCCGCAGCCGTGGCCGCCGCTCACGAGCAGGGTATCGCCGTACTCGCCGGCGCTGCCGTCGGGGGTGCTCATCGAGGCCGTCAAAGCTGGTATGAGCGCGCAAGAATCGGCGCCGGGTCTTCCTGGCGGAGGGGGCAAAGGCAAGCGAAAGGTAGTGCGGGTACGGGGCTGAGAGATGACCGGATGGGAGGGTGCGGCAGGGCGTGCGTATGTTACTAGTTGTAGGATAACGCAACGAATGTAATCTTTCTTGACGTACTCATGACAGACCTCTGGACTAACACCTCACTCGCGGACTACCCATATGCGCTGATGCGGATAGACAGCGGAATCTTCAGGCATGTGCGATAGACTGCTAACGAGCATCATAGCACATGTTTTCGGACCAGCATGTCATACCATTTACAGGACCTTGGTATGCGACAGATGGGTCTAACCATCCCAAGTCGAGCGTGCACTCATAGTGACCATTGTCGTCATTTGTCCAAGTATTAGTGTGCGTTGTCGGACGACAAGCTGTGCACATACCGGCACATGTAGATCAATTGATTCTGGAGAAGGGGGCTAGCTATGTAGCTGTGTATTGCGGCATCTATTCTCACAAGACGGTGGGCTCGGGTGGGATCGAACGTATACACGATCCTTGTCGTCATTTGTGGCCTTATCTATCAGACTTGCCTTTTTGAGCGGTCCACACGTAGCCCTGCCGTCCTTTGCCGTCTTTTGTTGCCAATCGATTGTCATCGAGCGCATATCTCTTTCTTTCCTACCACCATGTTGCACCACGTTGCACCTCAGGCTCCCGTCGCTGTCGCTCCTGCGGTGGGCTCGTCGATGCCGACGTTCACCGACGCTCGCGTGGCAATGATCGATGTTCTCGATCGCGACGGCGCGTCAACGCGGACTTGCACGCGCATACACCCAGCATACACTCACGTACTCAACATACGCCCTACCAGTTCCCTTCCTGCATCCTCTGACGACCACCCGCGCTTTTCTGCAGTCCTACAACCGAGTCTCGTGGCCCTTCCACACTGCTCATGCGACCCATAGGCGTTCGATAAGATCAAAAGAAGCACCCGAAACTCCACCGGGCGCACACCATGCCGCCCGACGAAGCGCGGCACACCGGGGGTGCGCACCCTAAAACGCATGCCTCACCCGCTCTCGGAAGGCTGCTGTGTAGAGGCGGGGTGCACTTGAGCTGCGATATATAGGGCGCACCTCTATCTACCTGGTCTCAATCTGGCTCTCGCTCGATCGCGTCTGTTTGGCGCTGGTGTGGCTATCTCTCTCTTCCGCTAGTCCAACTGGGTGCTGGACAAGCTGCTCTCCTTGGCTGGTTCGGGTCTTGTTGGCCTCGGGGAAACCACACCGCTCCGAGTTCGCGGCCCAGACTCGTGGGGCAAGTGCAGATGCTTCTCCGAACGAGACTATGGAATTTGTACGGCGCCGTCGCTGGACGAACTCTGCATGTGCGCGCATGTGACGCCACTCGTGTTGCCTGCGCTCGTCGTGGATTTCGCGGGTGAATACGATCGTGCAACGTTCAAGGATGCAGGACGCGCTTCTCAGCGGTACCCAGACGGGAGTTGACTGGCGTCCTCGGGGCGTGGTGAGATCGATTCCTTTTGCGCAGCGAGCGTTCGGTTCTAATACGTGTTGCTTCCCAGCAGATATCTATTCCCGGTAGGCAGATGG